CTGATTCCAGGAGGCTGGGGGCAGAGCAACTGTGGCTCGGGCTTCCTGTAGTCAGCCCCTGGTCAGTTTCAGCAGCAGCAGCTGAATCTGCGTGGGGTGGGCAGACTCCTCAGTTTCTTCAGCTGTAAGGCTGCATAAAAAGTGGGGCCTGCCATGCAAACCAGCTGCTGTCTCTGAGCAGAGTTTTTCCAGGGAAATAAAATGTACCTTCACTTTTGTCATCGTCATGTCTATAGCCAATGAAACTCATATCTTAAAGGCACATGAGAGAGTCACATTTCAGGCTGCTGTGTTCCATAGAATCCTAGAAATGTAAGGCTGGAAGGAACTTCAAGAGGTTGTCTAGCACACCCACCTGGGCAGAGGCAGGACCAAGTTTGCCTAGACCAGGGGTTCCCAACTTTTTTTGGTCCCCGTACCCTCTTGGCTTTTAGTAAACCTTCCCCATACTCCCTATTCAATATGAAAGGAAATAAATTCTAGACTCTAGAATCCACAACTTTTTTCACTACTACTACTACTTTTGGAATATTTCAATTAGGATAATCTAGTTATTTACCAAATATTCCCCGTACCCCCTAGACAAGCTTCTCATACCCCAGGTTGGGAACCCCTGGCCTAGACCATCCCTGTCAGGTGTTTTTCTAACCTATTCTTAAAAAACTCCAGTGATGCGATTTCTACAGCCTCCCTTGGTAACCTGTTGCAGTGTGTAACTAGTCTTACAGATGGACAGTTTTTCCTAATATTCAACCTAACCTGCTGCAGGTGAAGCTCGTTATTTCTTGTCATGTCTTCAGTGGACATTGAGAACAGATGATCTTTCTTCTCTTTGTAATAGCCAGTAAGGGCTCCCCTTTGTCTTTTCCCAAGTTAAACATACACAGGGGTTTTTAACCTCTCCTCCTAGGTCAGGTTTTCTAAACCTTTTATCATTTTTGTTGCTCTCCTCTGGACTCTCTCCCGTTTGTTCAGGTCTTTCTAAAAATGTGGCACCCCGCACTGGACACAGTACTCCACTAAGGCAACACCAGTGCCAAGTAAAGCAAGACAGTGCCTATATCTTAGACACTACTCTTAATACATGAGTGGTTAAACACTGGAATAAATTACCTGGGGAGGTTGGAGAATCTCCATCCCTGGAGATATTTAAGAGCCCGTTAGGCAGACACCAGTTAGGGATGATATAGACAGGGCTTGGTCCTGCCGTGAGCGCAGGGGGCTGGACTTGATGATCTCTCGAGGCCCCTTCCCATTCTAATATTCTATAATTCTGTGATTCTATGCCAGAATGATATTGGCTTTTTTCACTTCTATCATGTAGTTGACTCATTCAAATTGTGATCCATTTTTAGCTGCTTCACTAACATGCAACATTTAAGAGTCCTATAAATGAAAGAAGCTAGCCAAAAAGAAAGAACTCTTTTTTTTCATTCGATAGCACACTCTGTTTAGTCTACTAAGCAGTCAGTTTCTCCCCTGCTGAAAAGACCTTCACAAGCATCTCCTGGAAAAACACCTTAGTGTTTATCAATTTTCTTTCCTCTAGGAGGTAGCAATGGGCCTTTTCTGTGTGGTAAACAAACCACTTTTGAAGGTGGGATGAGGGAGCCAGCTATTGCCTGGTGGCCAGGACAGATCCCTGCAGGACACGTAAGTATCTGGCCTTAATTTTAGGCTTAATCCAATGCCATTTGAAGTCAATAGAAGGAGTCCCATTGGCTTCAGCAGTCTTTGGTTCAGGGCTTTTAGCACATTCTCAATGGAATCACTAGGTCCAAACCTGGGCTCCGATTAAGTAAAGAATTGATTGATGTGTATACAACAAGATCAGTTAATTATGTTATTGCAACATTATACTGTGAATATGCATGGTCACATTTTTATAAGCACTAAGGGGTTTGACTTCAGCCAGCAGATAACTTTTTGTTTTCCTGGTCTGCTTAACCCCTTCACCTCTGCTGGGTCATACTTCTGTCTCCCCAACGTTTTTACTGGACTGTCATTGTGATCAAATGGAATGCAGGGACATTCCTGTCCCTCTGTGTCCCGCTACAGAACGTGGTTCCTGAACACATTCTGCATGTCCTGTAGCATGGAGTGATTTAAACCCCACGCTCCTGGGTTTTGTGAGTTGATAGCTGTTTCGCTCAGGGAGGTCTGTGTACCAGAATGTTACTGTTTCCTGCCTGCGCAGAGATTAAAATGTTGCTCATTCTAGACTAATCCTCAGGTGGCAATACCAACATGTGCAGGAGATTGTCCCAGTACTCATTAAAGAAAGATCTAAACAACTCTTCAGGAGGTAGGATTCCTGTTAAATAATGTGCATTCCCTACTCCTTTGTAGATAGCTTTTATTCAGAAAGAAGCGATATTCATCATCTTGACACTGTGCCCAAGATCACAAAATATTTATAAAACATTTTTCTAATTTACATTCCTTCTCAATGTTGTAAGTAAATCGGATAAAGATAATTTATAGAGCATATTTAGAGGGCCACTTTCAGGTTTGGGCTAAAATTTGGAGCATGAGGGTCGTTAGAGCTTGTCATTTTTAAAAGCATTACAAAAGCTAACAGGAATGTTTTTATGATTCTTTAAAGTTTGAAATGAAAACAGTTTATTGTTTGAATTTCAATGTTCCCATGAAGTCCTTGCAAGCCAAGCATTAGTAACTTTGGACCAGTGCATGAGAACACGAAATTGAAACTATTTTGTTTTCTGTGTACAGATTGAGTCAAGTGCCAAAAGTAAATAACCATCATAAATGGGAACAGGTATATTAGTCTGAAAACGTAACTCTAAGGTATAATTAGGAGCAAGTGCAAAGAAATGTTTTAGCAATAATAACAGTAATCTTGTACCTGCAGAATAGCTAGATGTTTCATGCAATAGTGCGAAATCTTTGCCACCGATCAGAGTCTGTGTGGTATTTTATGGTGAGTTGCTTCCTGTTTTAGAAACTGGCTGAAAGTTTAACCTAAATTTGTATGATCAACCATTTATGAATGGTTAACACATTGGCTCACACAAATGTGGGACCACATTGCCGTGGGTATACACATACAGGCCCCGGTTTGGCAAGCTACCCCTGTGTAGAAAAGCTCTTAAGGATAAGATTAACTTGAAGCACATACTTAAGTCTTCTGATTAGGTAAATCCTCAGCTGGTGCAAATTGTCCTGGCTCCATTGACAGCTCTGCCCCATTGACTTCAATAACATTTAAATATGCACTTGACTGTAGGCATATGATTCATTCCTTGCTACATTTGGCCACATTTCAGGAAACTGGTCACCAAATGGTTATGCATATAGACATCTCATCCTGAGAGACGTTGTGTTCCTGCAAATCCCGTTGGGCTCAGATTGCTTTTCAGACCTATGGCCCGTACTGTGCTGCTTTTTTCTGTGTTGTGGATGTGCTAGTGTAACCCACACATCTGTTGTGTGTGTGGTGTTCTGTCCCGTCTAGTGTCACTGAGACCACTCAGAGAGAGAGAGAAATGAATCTTCTCTACAACTGGCTGGTAGCTCATACATTTAGCTCCAGAAGCCCACTCGCCTCCAACCAGGGTCTGTGGGTGTGAAATTAGCCTGAGTGTTATCTATAAATAAATACATAATCACAGATGTTAATAGGTCTTCTCTGCTAGGATTCTTGAAGTCAAGGCACCTGCAGTGTGATGCCCACAGCAGCACTGTCCAGCATTGCTTAAGGTTTTTAGGCATTTGCCCTCTGGTATTAGAGCAGCCTGTATAGTTTTTATAGTGCATAGTTATTTCGCAACAATTGCCTACTCTAGACAAGTGGGTGGAGAGCTTCTCTGTCTGGTTTTTTGGGGGGGAGGGGTTGGCTCTTTTGCATATCGTATGTTGAAGCTACAAAATAGCCCACGTTCCACTTAGTCTGAGTGGCTGCAAGAAATGTCTCTTAATCCTCAAAAGCGATAAAGAAAGAAGCTGAGGTCTTCTCTGCACCAGCAGAACGACTGCTAGGCAGTGGCGGTGCAAGCTGTTACCTTCCCAGCCCGACCTGGAAGGAAGAATGAGAGGTTAGTTCAGTGTTAGTGCCCATATAGTGTTTGGAGTCTCTGCTAAAACTGTTGGGAGCTTTACCCGCTAGTAAGTGCTGGTGGGTTTTGCTCTGGACAGGAGTCCCCCAAGAATTGGCATGAACCCGCTAACTGTCTCACAGATGTGACCAAGTAGCTATCAGATGGTGACAACTTTTGGTTACTGTTGACCAAGGCAATGTTCAAAGCAGTAGCCTGCTGTTGAAAGTTTCCTTGTCTTGTTACCAGTGGCCTGAGCCGGTCAGCTGCTCAGCCCTGCCAAACTACTGGAGTTGACCCTGCCAAAGAATGACCGTGTCTCTTTGCTGATGGTCAGCAATTTGATAAATGCAGAGTGATGCACATTGGAACATATAATCCCAACTATATATACAAAATGGTGAGATCTAAATTAGCTGTTACCATTCAAGAAGGTAGCAAAATTTGCAGGTGATACCAAACTGCTCAAGGTAGTTAAGACCAAAGCAGACTGTGAAGATCTTCAGAGCAATCTCACAAAACTAGGTGACTGGGCAACAAAAAGACAAATGAATTTTAAAGTTGATAAATGCAGAGTAATGCACCTTGGAAAAAATAATCCCAACTATATACAGGCAGTCCCCGGGTTACGTACAAGATAGGGACTATAGGTTTGTTCTTAAGTTGAATTTGTATGTAAGTTGGAACTGGCTCCAGATTCAGCTGCTGCCACTGAAACTGACCAGGGGCTGACTACAGGAAGCCGGAGGCAGAGTTGCTCTGCCCCCAGCTTCCTGGAATCAGCCTGATCAGTTTCAACAGCTGCTGAATCTGGAGCCTGGGGGCAGCCCCACCAGCACCCCAGCTGCTCTACCCGAGGCATCCCGCAACAAAAGCCTGGTCTGCTGGGGGGAGGGAGGGGAGCACTAGCTGCGCCCCCCTCCCCTCCCCAGCAGACCAGGGAGATCCGAGCAAAGCCGCACAGGCGGAGGGACCCCGCTGCCCATGCGGCTTTGCTCCTGTCTCCCTGGGGTGCTGGGGGGAGCACCCCCCA